ATTAAGATTGTTAACAGCTTCAGTTTGCTTGGCTCCACAATCAGCACTCTTGGTACCAACAGACAGGAAATCAAGAGGTGAATTACATTGAGAAAATCTGCTGTCAAAGACCCTCTCCAGGGTACTGAAGAGCAATAGTATCAGCCCATAGACTAAGGTGTACCTGATCCAGGCCATGGTCTTCACATTTACTTGCTTTGCTTCAGAAAGCTGGACAGTGACTATAGAAGAAGAATTGATGACTTCGAGCTGGGGTTCTGGAAAAGGGTATTGAATATACCATGGAGTGCTAGGAGAATGAACAGGTTTGTTCTAGAGAGGGTGAAACCAGGGTGCTCCTTGGAGGCAAAGATTATGATGCTCCATCTGACATACTTTGGGCATGTTGTGAGAAAAGACTAATCCTTGGAGAGGGACATCAGGCTTAAAAGACTGGAGAGACAGCACAAGAGAGGAAGACCCTGGATGAGATGGATTGACTTAGTGATTGGGGTAATGAGGGTAGGTGTGTCAGAGACAACAAGGTTTACTCAGGATAGAGCAGGATTCAGAGCTGTTGTACATAGGGTCGCTATGAGTCACAAGTGACTCAGTGGCACATAACAACATATCACGTATATATACAAGTAGCAAATGAGTACTAATTTCTATAAATAGTCTTGATGAAATACAAATCAGCTCATTTTTTAATATACCAGTTCTTCTACATAGTTTTACCATTCATTCCAGTGTACCATTCCACATTCAGATTCATAATTAAAATCTTACCTGTGTTGGGTGGTTAGAAGTAGCCTTTGGAATCTGCCAGCTGCTCCTTAGGAGAAAGATCAGGCAATTTTCAGTAAAGATTTGCAACCTTAGAAACCCCACAGGGCAGCTCTCCACTGTCCTGCGGAGCCACTGTAAGTCAGAACAACTGGATGGTAATATGTTTGGACCTTTTGGGTTTTATCTTTCAAGACTCAGTCCAATTGTAGCTGACCTGTGGAGCCACTGTAAGTCCAAACACCTGGATGGTAAAAAGTTTGGACCTTCTTTTGGGTTTTATCTTCCAAGATTCAATCCAGTTGTATTTATGTTTCCATCACCCACCCAAAGGGAGCTCTGGTGGCCTCGTGGTAAAAAGTTTTATTGCAGTCACAAAGGCGTGATGTTCAAAATCTAGCTGCTCTGCTGAAGAAGGATGGATAGAAAGTATTCTGTGCAATTACCTGCCTCTGAAAACTGTCTGCAGGGTCAGCTATGGGCCAGTTCAGACTCGACAAAACACTACCACCAAAAACCCCATATAGAATTATTTTGGTATTTCTTTTTACCATCTACAGAACTATTACTGCTGCATCCTTTATTAATGTGTTGTTTCTGTGTGCTGTCAAGTCAGAATTGACTCATCACTGACTCTCCAGTGGGTTTTCAGAGCCAGTAAATCACACAGGAGGAGATTACCTGTTTTTCTCTCATGGAGAAGCTGGTAGATTTGACCCATATACCTTTGGATTGCCGGTGTAACACCTTACCACTTGGCCACCAGAGCTCCCTTATTAGCAAGTTGTACTATTCCATTTCATCTTAAGTGTTTGTATTATTTAAAGATAATTTCTTTATCTTTTTAAATTTTTTTTATTTATTCATTATTGCATTCCCTCTTCCTCCTCTAGGCCACTTTTCAGTATACTTCTTGTTCTAGATTGTTGTCATACATATAATACCTAATCATATATTCATTTTTAACAGTTCTTTCCCTCCTCTGTTCCAATGCAGTCTTCATTATTTATAAACTCTTTTGCTATTCTTCCCCCAATTGCCCATGTCCATCCTGTTTTATAACAGTGGTGTTATACAGTATTTGTTCTTTTGTGGCAGATATTTCACTCAACATAATGTCCTACAGGCTCACCCATGTTATGCAATATCTTACAAGTTTGAGAATATTAGGGACTGTGAACATGGTACAGGATAGGACAAGCTTCTTATCTGTTGTTCTGAGGGTCACTAGAGGCTATAGTGGACCCAGTGGCATCTAATAACAGCAGCAACATATGTGACTGCTACTCTCTAACTCACATCTGAGTGACAAGGGATGAGAGAATGGTAATGGTTGTACCATGTTACATTCGCATAAGCAGGGAATGAGTTCCAGTTTTTCTACAACCTCACCAGCATTTGTTGTTTGCTGCCCTGTTGAACTTTGTTATTGTTGCTGGGACAATTAATTTCTTGAAATAAGATTATGTGTTGTATTTTTTTTTCCTGTTTCTGACAGACCTAGTATAATATTTTTATAAATGTGGTAGGTACAAAATTGATGATTGAATAATTTTCCACTGAGTACCTAATTTAGAAACACTGTAAGGAGTGTGGCCTAGCCAACATTTTCTTGTCATTCTGCAGTGTAGTACACTTTCAGAAGAGAAGATTTTTTTAAAGTGGCAATGCTGTCTAAATAGTTATTACAAAAACTACATACTAAAATGTGTTTGCTTTATGCATGGGATAGCCTCCTGAGACCAACATGTAGAAGCTTTTTCTTCAAATCCTTTATATCTTTAATTTATGCATAATTCTATGAAGAATTGCTTATCTGACTTCTTAGAGCCAAAAGAAACTCATGCTGCTCTGCATTAAATTAAGAGCAAGGTGAGTAAACCTACTATGGTGGCAAACTTTGTATTAAGGATCAGTATGAATCCAATTGAAATCTTGATAATGATCCAGTCTTCATCTCTCCACTTCATTATTTGAGTTTCCAGCTACTCCAGGTGGCATTCTCTCATCCTTGCACCCACATATTATTGCAGGTGTTACTAGATGCCATCGGGTCCACTATAGCTCTCAGTGACCCCTGAACAACAGATGAGAACCTTGACCTATCCTGCATGGTCTGCACCATCACGAATATACTTGAACCCATTAGTACAATCACTGTATCAGCCCAGTTTATTGGGGACACTCCTCTTTTTCCTGAGGCTCTACATTTCCTAGTGTTATGTCTTTTTCCAGGGACTGACCTGTCAAGATAGCATACCCAAAGTAAGTGAGACGGAGGTTCACCAGCCAAATATTCCCGCATCCAAAAGCCTCCCTGCACTTCATACCAGCCCCATCTATCCCTCGGGGATACCACCTTAAAGTTTTGGAATCCATGCACGTTCCATTGACACTGTGATTCACAGTTTCACTCTTAGCAGTTTTTATGAAATGGACATTTGTCATGATGCGAGTGATTTTGCTCCTGTGGAACAGGTCGAATTTTTTATACTAAACAGAACAGACTCAAGCTGACGGGTAAAGTTTCAGTCAAGTCAGGTTCACCCTAAAGATCCAAGAGCCACTACCTATGTAATTGTTTTTGCCTTTTTTTGGGGGGGGGGCACTAATTTTGTTTCAATGCTGGTAATTGAAACCATTTTAATGTATATTTGGTTGTAATTTCCTTTGTATGTCCTTCCAAAACTGTTGTGTACAGATCTTGCCTTCAGTGTTGGCCTCAGGTTTTTAATAAGACATTTTCTATTGAAAAAATAAAGTTTTGGAATCTTTGACTCCTTAACCTCTGGCTTTCAGGTTCTCTTTGGGCCTGTGATTTTCACTGGAACATCTCACAGAATTCACAGAAAGCCTCTCTACATACAGTTACCCATTCATTGTTACCAGAAGGAATGTAAATGAAGACACAAGAGGATCAATTTTGGGAAAAGTTCTAGTACAAGATATCCATTGTTCCCAGGATTGTACCCACCCTCTCAAGAGTAGATCCTCTTCCCATTTAGGAAGCCCGAAAAGCTTGTGTTCAGGCCCTTTTAGTGACTTTCAAATCAGTATTCATATTTGGAGCCCTGTTGCATAGTCCTGGCTGAATTAAACCATTAATCTACACTGTTGACTGCTCTTTACTTCCTGAGATTAGAGCAGGTCTGGCCTTTGTGGTCCCCGCTCATTTACACACATGTAAGTGTTGCCTTGCTGTTTTAGGAAAAAATACCTTGATTGCAAGCAATTCCTAAGAACTGTCTCTTAGAAACAAAAGACAGACTAAATTGACTTATTTGTGTAGCATACTCTAAAATCAGCAATAAGATTTTATAAGCAATGAAAACTCAAATAGTGTAGTAGAGTAATGCCCATTTGCATGGGTTAATATATCTGATAGCCCTAAAGTATCATACAACCCTGATTATATGTTAACTGATGTTTATGATGATTAAACAAATATCTAAGTTACGTTCAAGAACATGGGTGGTGGTGTGTGCTGAACATTGAATTCTGATATGTAACACTACATGACAGAGTATGGCTGACCCATAAGGTTTCCTAGGCTGTGCTCTTTACAGGAGCAGATCTCTAACTCTTTTCTCCCAAGGAGAACTTTAGTTAGCAGCCAAGCGCTTAACTACTGCAGCACCAAGATAGCTCCTAGTACTAGCTCCTACCACTCCTCCTCCTCATTCCCATCAAGTCAGAACCCCTCAGGTTTGAAAGGCTCTAAATCATGCATAATATATAGGACAGACCAGCTTGGTTCTTTGCCAGTAGCATGCTATTTAATGCTTCTTTGCCTTCCCCTTTTCTGTTTTCTTAGCCTGGATCATTTTTACTCTTCTAAACTCATCTCACCCCTTCTCTTTTTCCTTCACAAGAGCATAAGCTCCTGGAAGGAGAGAATGCCGTAGTCATCTCTGTATCTATCGTAGTATGTAGTAGATGGTCAGTAGATGTTTATTGAATTGTGCTGAACTTTTGTGCAAAGATCCAGGTTGGTTTTGGTTGTGCTATTTCTGTTAACAACAACAGCAAAAATTTTTTTTTTAAATGGCTGTTTAAACTCACCAGTTGCTCCTCAAGAGACAGAATGCAGGCTGCTCCCCTCCCGATGTAGAACCTGGGCTGCTTTGGAGCATGATTCTGCTATCTGTAGGCTCACTAGGAGTGAGAATGGACTCAACAGCCGTGATAACTGATCTCTTCTGTGTCTCAATGTTTAATGTTTTCCTTCTCCTTAGATGGATTAATTGCCTCTGAAGGAGCCATAAGTCCAGAATTCTTCAATGATTTTCACCTTCAAAATGGCGATCATCCATTTCCTGGCAGGTAATCAATATTCCGGGCCGGGGGGGGGGGTGGGAATCTAATCTGTAGTATATAGAGGATAATATCATTTCCTGTGTTTTTGAAAAATTAGAGTTATCTTTATCCATATATCTTTTTTATTGGGAGGGAAAAAATTTGGTCTTTTCAAAACATTGATATTGATTATAAGTTAACTTAAGAAATCACATTTTCTATGTAAAAGGGGAAAAAAGAGTTGACAAATCTGAAGGAAAAAAATACTTTGGCAGTTAGACAATAAAAGCTGTCCTTTTAAACAGAAAATAACTTTTGCCAAATTAGTGAACACAGATTTTTTTCTGAGAACTTTCCAGTGTGAATAAAATATAACAGAAAATGAGCATACGAGAAATTTTAACAATTTCTCAAATGCTGCTGTTTTTCAATAAGCCCCGGCATCACAACATTTAAGCAGTAGGTTAACAGTGTGAAACTTCCCAGGGAGAAAGACGTGGCAGTCAGCTTCAAGATGAATACAGCCAAGAAAAGCATAGGAGACATCTCTATCCTGTAATGCAGGGAGCTGTGATGAGTTCAAGTCAACTCAAAGGACCTAAAAACAACTGTTTTTTAAAATCTTGGAACTTTATTATATACTTGTCCTCCCTAAATAGCATTCAAGTAAATGAAGGACAGGCCAGCATTGCCTACAGCTATAGAAAAGTTCCCCTAGCAGATACATTTTATACTTGCCAAAAAAGATAGAAAATATTTTCCCCTTCAGATCATTCCTAGACATGTAATATTTTAATTTAGACAGACTGTTGAAACTTCCCCTTAAGCTGGTGAGTAGGTTTAATCTTACTTTCCTTTAAGATGATTATTTTCCTTTTAATTATTGACTTAATTTCTGTTATTTTATGTTGTTTATTTTTTTAAGTTTTTGTTGTGATTTGAGTGAAAGTTTATAGAGCAAGTTAGTTTTGATTCAACAATGTATCCATTTTTTCATGAAAGTGATTATTCTACCCGCATTGTGATGGCACCCTTCCCTTCGTTAGCATAAGCTGTTAGGAACTCCAGTAGTGCAGTAGTAGCTGCTAACCAGAAGGTCAGAGGGTAGAATCCATCAGTTCTCCATGAGCAGAAGATGAATGGTCTTTTCCTGTGAAAATGTACAGCCTTGGAAATTCCATGGAGAGTTGCCATGAGTTAGAATCAACTTGACAGCAGTGGGTTATTTCAGATTGAGGAGCCCTAGTAACACAGAGGGTAAGCACGTGCCAGCTAAATGAAAGGTCACTGGTTTGGATCTACCAGTCACTTTACAGAAGATAGATGTAGCAGTCTGTTTCCATAAAGATTATAGCTTTGGAATCCTCTGGGGCAGTTCTGCTCATTTCTGTGGGTCAGCGCTGACTTTGTGGCAACAGGCTTAGGATTTGTTTCATTTGCATTTTGAGGGATATTTTCAGATTGGATGATATATTCATGTATTTTCTTTTAAATGAAAAAATTCCATTGTAACCAATATAATATTAAACTCAGTTATCAGTTACCATAACCTTCTTTATTTCAATAATAGTAATTGCAACCATTATTGATCATCCACAAGGTATTATTATAGTCATTTTATAGATGAGGAAATCAAGGCTCTAAAAATACAACTTTAAGTAAACAACTCACATAGAAGGAAAGTAGAGCAAGAAGTAGAACTCAGGCTTATATGTCTCCAAAGCTTATGGATAACTAAATTTGGGAATAAAATATGGTATAATAATTTTCAACCTTTTTTGGCTACTATCCATGTCTTCATTTCATATTAAGATTCACTGCACATGTATGTCTTTTTATAAATATATATATATTTTTAAATAAAAATTTCTCAAAATGATACTATCTGTCATGAGGATGACTCTGGTGGCCTCATTGTAAGGAATTGTGCTGTCTCCTCCAATGCGATTTGATGGCTCTGAAAACCTGCTGGCGGGTCAGCTATGAGTCGGTTGTGACTCTGTGGTACTCCATAACAGCAACAATGGCCTGTGCCTGCATCTCTTTTATCCTGTTTAATTTTTTAAAGGCAGGTTGCACTCCACTATATTGATTAAATCACTGGTCATTGTAATGCAGGGTTTAAAAGCAAAGTGAAAAAACCATGGAAGATTATGTGAAATGAGATACTCACTCTATATATAATTTAGGGAACTCTGGTGATTGAGAAGCTGTGCTGCTAACCCAAAGGAAGGCAGTTCAAATCCACCAGCTGCTCTGTGAGAAAGATGGGCATTTACTACCTCTGAAAACTGGCTGGAGGTTCATTTATGAGTCATTTCCAGCTCAGCAGTACATAATGCCAACATAGATAATTTAGCTGCTCTGGTGGAGTAGTGCTTGCCACATTGTGCTGCTAACAAAAATTTGGCAGGTTGAATATATCAGCTGCTTCCAGGGAGAAGGGTGGGCAGTCTCCTTCAATACAAATTTACAGCTTCAGCAACCAAATGGAAGATGTCTGAGTCAGAACCAACTGAATGGAAGTGGATTTGGTTTCGTTTGAAGTATACATATGATTTACGAATTCTATGTAGTTGGTTGCTCTAACTTACAGTAACCTTATGTTTGATGGAACTAAATTTGCCTAGACCTACACCATCGAATATTTCTAGTCACCTCGTGACTATTGTGTTGTGCCTTATAACCTAAGAGGCTCATCTTCTAGTGCTATGTAAAACAATATTCTCTTGTGATCCATAATGTTTTATTTGATTTCTTTTATAAAGTAGATCGCCAAGCTTTATCTTCTTGACTTATCTTAGTCTTAAAACTTTGCTGAAATTTGTCTACCATGAGTGACCTTACTAGAATTTGAAATATGAATAGTTTAGTTTATAAGGTACCCTAATGATAAGATTTGATAAATGTCAATAGTTGTAAAGGGGCTTCAGGCCTTTTGTTCATAGGGTCTCTATGAGTTGTGCTCAACTTGAAGGGAATCAACAACAACAGTGATGAGAAGGGAACTCTGGTGACCTAATGGTGAGGAACTTTATCTCCAACTCAGAGCCACCCAGTTTGAATCCACCATTCGCTCCTTAAGAGAAAGATGAACAGTCTCTGTGTCATTTAAAGCCTCTGAAAACCTACTGGAGGATCAGCTATGAGTCACTTCTGACTTAATGATAAATAACAGCAACAACAGTAGTTTATGGGGAGCTCTGGTTGCCTGCTGAGTAAGGGGTCACTGCCAACACGAAGACACAATTCAAATCCACCATCTGCTCTCAGGAGAAAGCTGGGCAGTCTCTTCCTACGTAGTTCGTGTTCTCTGAAAACCTGCTGGAGGGTCAACTGTGAGTGAGTGACAAATAGCATCATAATTTGTAGGATCATAGCAACACACAAGCCACCACAGTACAACAAACTGACAGATGGCTGCTGAAGTTTTCTGTATCCTTTATCATGCCATCTGTCTATTCCAACTGATAAGACAGAGTAGCACCACCACACAGGGTCCCAAAGGCTGTCAATCTTTGAGGTCAAGCTATCACATCTTTATCCCATGAAGCAACAGGTTCAAATTGTAGACCTTTCGGTTTACAGCAGAATGCTTTAACCACTCATCACCAGGTTCCTTAAATAAACATTAGCCCTTTAGAAAGACAGTTTCATTAGTATACTGGATTGTCATGCTAGGAAACTTCTTGCCTTAGGATAGAATAGCTATATATAGTTAAATACTAGGATGTATCTGCTATTGGATTATTTCAGATGGTGCTAGATGTGTTCAAACAAAAATAAAAATAAATTAGAGACTCCATTATTTTAAGTAGTATATACCATCATCCTATGTCAGTTTACTGTACAATTGTATTCTGATCTAGAAAAGTGAAGAATTATTTGGGTATATGATCCAAATATAGCTATATAAAAAATTTTTCTGATATAAGTTTAAGTCTCCAGTTTATGTTTCATCATGAGTAATACTTTTTTGTATCTCCATATACTATCCAAGTGAAAGCAAAGGAGCTTTATTCTTACTTAGAAAAATTTGCTTGGTATTTTTTTATAATTAAATGTTTTCTAAGAAAATAAAATTTTACAAACTTACCTTAAATATGTTGTTGTTGTGTGCCGTTGAGTTGCCTGCGACTCATAGCTCTGAAACCTGCCCTGTCCTGAGCCAGTCTCACTGACTCCACACACCTACCCCCACTAAATATATAAATTATTGATTTTATGAACTTACCAGTTCTCCAAAATAACTTTTTTTTTCAAAATGTACATATAACACAGTAAAAATTATTTAAGTGACAGTTATCCTCAATAGCTAGGTTATGTAATCCAAAAATGTCAGAATTTTATTCCTCAATTTTGTCATTAACGTTTTAAGAAACAATTTGGAGACAGTCCTTTTACTTTTGTATCATAACCTCTTTTTGAAAAAGAAAAATATTTAGGTAATTTAACCTACTTCCTAAAAGACATGCCACAGTAATTCTGCCTTAAAGGATTAGTTAATAAAACTGACTATACACTATTTTTCAAATCAGAAGATCAATATGCTTACTTGTTATAATCATTTTGATTTGAGAATTGCTTAGCCTTTAAAAGAAACTTTCCCAGAGAAAGTTAAGTCTTTCATCTCTTGTCTTTTGTGATTTTCCAGGCTTTAAATCACATAGCTGTATCATTTTCTCTTTTTCATTTCCAGAAGAAATAATTTACAATCAGTTTCCTCACTTTTCCTGTAAGTGGTAGATCAAATGAAAAGAGACTCAAAACTGTACCAATAGAGATAGAAACAGAGTGTACAGTATCATTAGAATTCATGTTTGTTCTTTTCCATATTACTGTTTATTAATTTGTTCAGGAATAATTTTCTTTTACTCAGTTTTTTGGTTAGGATTTTCCTTTTAATCGTATTTTTATATTCTTTCATCAGAACAAACAATCAATGTTAACACTGACATATTTTTCAATTCTGAAATTATTTAAGTATTTTAAATTGCTATGTGGTTACTCACATTTTTGTATGATAA